AATGATACAAACTACCTCCCTGGGAATGGTTCTGTCATTTTCCTCAGCTGAAACCTGTTCCTTGGGGGATGAGAAAGGGAAAATAAGTACAGGGGAGGCCAATCACAGTAGCTGCCAAACTCTGTCCCGTATTTGGTCTTCACCACCCTCCTATGGAATGTCCCAGCATTCCTGACTCTCCACTCAGGCCCTTTCAGGAACCACTAGTGCCCCTAGCACTTACAAGTGTTTGCTGCAGTCAAGCTAGTTGCATTTCATTTAATGAACAGTTAAAAATCATACTAGAAAGCGTGACATTTACTTTATTTAGGTTACCATTTTTACCAAAGAATTTGGAGTTCATTGTCTTCCTTGAATGGAACTTTGGAATAATCATTTTCTCCTTCCTTCCTTTCTTCTTTCCTTCTTCCCTCCTTCCCTTCCTTCCTTCCTTTTTTTCTCGTCCTCTTCCTACCCTTTTCACTCCCCTCCTCCCTCTCCTCTTCTTTTTCTAAATGGATTTAATAATTGATCCTGGGGTATTATCATATAAATGCAGGTGTTAGATATCATTAAGGATAAATTAATCTTGGACTGGGGACATAGCACAGTGGTAGAGCACTTGCCTAGGATGCACAAGGCCCGGGTTCAATCCTCAGCACTTCAAAAATAAGACAAAACAACCCTAAGAAAACTTTAAGAAGATGGTATTGATGTAGTTACACATAGCGATCCCAGATATGTATGTACAAGTGAGAAATAAGAAGTCCTTCCTAGGACTGTGTAGTATTTACTCAGTTCTTACATAATATACATTTCACCTTAATAAAAATTAAGAGGAAATGCTTTAGAAATTTTATCAAAAAGTAGCCCTGATACATTTACACGAAGACTGGTACAGGATTGTTCAAAACAGCATTATTTTAAAAAAAAATTAGTTGTAGATGGACATTATTATTATCTTTTATGGACATTTTATTTTTATTCATTTTTATGCAGTGCTGATGATGGAACCCAGCGTCTCACATGTGCTAGGCAAGTGCTTTACCACTGAGTTACAACCCCAACCCCAAACAGTATTATTCATTAATGCCCAAAAGTGAACGCAGCCCAAATGTCCACTGACTGATGAGTGGCTAGAGAGTATGGTATGTCCTTAAGCAGGATATTATTCAGCCAGGGGAATGGAGTACTGATATATTCTACAACCCAGATGAGTCTCAAAAATGTCACACCAGATAAAAGAAGCCAGATTACAGGAAGCCACATATCATGACTCCATTTGAATGAAATAGCCAGAAACGGTGAATCAGAAACAAGGTAAATTCAGGGGAAGTGGGGTAGCATGACTGCAGATAGTCACCGGGGATCTTTTAGAGTAAGATGGAAATGTTCTAAATTGGATTATGGTCATGGTCGAACAACTCTGTAAATTTATTATAACACATTGAATTAATGTACTTAAAGCAGCTGAATTTTATAAAGTAAGTCATTTTAAAAAGAAATGGCCTCTAGTAATGCTAGAGACATTGATGTCAAAGATGCACAGAGTTTGAAAAACATTATTTTAGGAAAGGTGAGAATGAATAAAAGCAACATTCTAGTTAATATGCATTTTAACTACTATTAGATACATTTAAATTAATAAAATAAGCATTAACTTGTAAATTAATTAAAAATAAGTCTTTTGATATTTTAGCTATTTTCAAAATAGATTTTAAAATGTAGGCTTTTAAAAAATATGTAAGCTTTTAATGGGAACCTCTTTATTCAGTAGTATACCCCAAAATTAAAATGAACATCCCTCCATCAACATTTTCATAGTCTAAAAAATCAGAAGTCTAAATTAAAATTTATGTTTTAAATATTATTATTTAAATATTCCAAAGCCCATCCACGTCAATTCTGGAATTTTAATCTCGGCTGATCCTATAGTATTTCTCTTAAGGGTGAATTCTGATCTGCAACCAGATCTGAAGTTTCTGTCATTGGATAGGATTTTCTGTGGTAGTTCAGAGTCTATGATGTGATATATTCATCTTTCTTCTCCCCTCAAAGGTCTCAAAAGGCTTATGGGAGGCTGAACACGATGACTGGTCTTATTTTTTTGCTGTCCAACCATTTCTTTGATCTTGCTCCATATATTCCAGACCATCCAATGGATTTATAGTAAAGTTCCAAGATGAAGGGAAATTTCTTGCTCATTATTAGCCTGAAATCCTGACTTTATTTCATCTTAATAAACAAAAAACATGCTCCAAAATTGCCCATAAAATTCCTTCCTTTTTTATTTTATTTTTTTGTTTTTTCTCTTTTTTATTGTTTTTTTAAATAAATTACAGCGGAATGCATTACAATTTTTATTTCACTTATACAGCACGATTTTTCTTATCTCTGGTTGTATATATAGTATGTTGACACCAATTCGTGTCTTCATACGTGTACTTTGGGTAATGATGTCTATCACATTCCACCATCTTTTCTAATCCCCTGCTCTCTCCCTTTCCCTCCCACCCCTCTGCCCTATCTAGAATTCATCTATTCCTCCCATGCTCCCCCTCCATACCCCACTGAGTCAGCCTCCTTATATCAGAGAAAACATTCGGCATTTGTTTTTTGGGGATTGGCTAACTTCACTTAGCATTATCTTCTCCAATGCCATCCATTTACCTGAAAATGCCATGATTTTATTCTCTTTTATTGCTGAGTAAAATTCCATCGTGTATATGTGCCACTTTAAAAAAAAATCCATAAAATTCCTTCCTTTAGAGATCTTCTTTGCCAGTGGTACCCTATTGCCATCCATCCCCAGGCATGTGCTGAAGTCTTTTTCTCCCCTTGCATTACCCCGTTTTCTCGCAAGGTGGCACTAAATGCCTCGTTTGGTGGTCAGGGCTTCTGTGTAGGCTTGATTTTGTTTCCTGGGTGCGAGAGCCTCTTCAAATGAGTGTTCAACAGCAGGTAGGTGTTCATAATTAATCAGGGGCTTCTCTGGTGTTCAGAAGAAGAAAACTCCACCTACCTTTCACCATTTAGGTAGAAAAAGCTTTATTTCAGCCAAACTATAAAAGGTTTAGAAACTATGAAAGAGCTATGGATGCAGCTCAGTAGCAGAGCACTTGCCTGGTATTTGTGAGGCCCTGGGTTCTATCTCAGCACGTAAAAAAAAGAAAAGAAAAGAAAGAAAAAATAAATAGCATAATCGAATCACATCCTAATAAATATTTTATTTTGTTTGGTTTAGTGCAGTATTAAAGTGCACCTACATTTAGCCATAGTAGAGATACAAATGCTCTTAAACTCTTATGCCTCTGAAACTTCCTTAGTTGTGAAACTGCCAATAGGAAGAATAGTTAAGTAAAAGCTGATGACATCCTATTCTGTCAATGTAGTGAGGTAGTTCAGTGTCTTTGTGAAGCCTCTACAAACATGTAATCCCAGGCTTTGCTTTGGGAGGTTTAAATAAACATATAGGAATAATGAAGAGGTACCTCCTGGAAAAGGATGCCAGACAAATCTCACACGATGTCAAGGTGCCTTCCTTGGATGACAGTTATGTCAAAGTGACCTCCATCCCTAGTGACTAGTTTCTGAGAGCCACATCCATAACACCTACAAGAGACTCAGGTAGAAAAATCACACTGCTGACTTATGCTTTGCCGGGCAGCACACTCCTCTTCACACACATTTACCTGGGAAGTCAGATTATAAGTAGAAGGTTCTACGCAGGCAAGAGAGACTGCAGGAGAGTGGGCTGGATGATGGTACCTGGGTGCCATCAATGAGGTTGGCCATGTGGCTTGGATGCTCATGGTGGGGGCTCCACCCTACTCTCCTTAGAATTGTGTTGGCAGAACATGGTCTCTGCTTCTCTGGCTTTCCCTCTTCTGTATTCACGGTGTTCCTGTGAGTTCATTATGGTTTCCGAGGTGCATGCCACACAATTTGGGAACTATGAGGCTAGAACCTGGTCATGTGGCCGCATGTAGCTGCAAGGAAATCAGGAATACAATCTATTTCGTTTAACCTGGTAGGGTCTGCACTGCTGAATTAGATGTCAATTTCTATAATTTTGTTCTCATAGGGATGTCTTATATCCTTATTTATAAGTTCTTCAAGCACGGATGCTTATTGCCTCCTTATACTAATAATGATGATGATAATAAGAGTTCCAAGAAGTCACCATTCATTGAGCACTAATGTGTAATAAGCACTCTGCTAAGGCACTTTTCATTTGTGTTTACACTTAATACTTGGACCTATATCAAAAGCTTCCTAAATACATATAACAGGAGCAATATATTTGGGATGTATATAGGAAGTGTATACATGGAACAAGTATCCATAGAGAGCAATGTATGTATGTGTCTTGTTCAAAATCATATAGTAATTAAGTGGCAAAGTAGGATTTAAGCTAGGCTGTCTGATTTTAGAATTCTGTTAACCAACAAGCAATATTACCTTTGATATTTACTGACTATAAAAATGAAGAGCAATGTGATATATTTGTGTTGGCATTATTCCCTGTTCTACATCGTCAATATTACCTTTTCTACATATAGTATCTTCAAAGGATTCAAAGTTGAATTCTTATGGTGCTGATGAACAAGCACAAAGGGGAAGAGAGACCTACTTGAAATAGTTCAGTGTTGCCAGGCCTGGTGGTGCACACCTATAATCCCAGCAGCTTGAGAGGCTGAGGCAAGAGGATTGCAAGTTCAAAGCCAGCTTCAGCAACTTATCGAGGCCCTAAGCAACTCAGCAAGATTCTGTCTCAAAGTAAAATATAAAAAAAGGGCTGGGGATATGGTTCAGTGGCTAAGTAACCCTGGGTTCAATTCCTGAACCACCCCCCAAGAAATAGTTCAGTGTTAATTTCTTTCAAATTCCAGTCTGAGATAACATAGGTAGAAAGGGGGAGGCCAACATTATCTCTCTGGATTTGATATGATGTCTCTGACCTGCAGAGGAGTGACATGAACATATTTTGCTAATATCTTGACCACTCATTTTTGTTGTAGGAGGCCGAGGGAAGGATGGTGCCCCCATCATCACTTTTCCAGAGTTTGTGGGGTTTAAACACATCCCAGAGGAGGACTTCCTGAATGTCATGACCTACCTGACTAGCATCCCCAGGTAAGCTACTTTCTCAGTCATGGGCCTTGCTCCACATTTGCCATGTGGCAGGCCTGGATTGAGGTGGAGCCTTCCACCAGCACAGTTTGCATTGGTATGTAACTAGGCCAGTATCTCTGGCCCAGCAATTAGGAACAACAGATGTGGAAAGAAATTAGAAAATATTGGCAAGCGGGGCACAGTAGTGCATGTGTGTAATCCCAGTGGCTTGGGAGGCTGAGGCAGGAGGATCACAGTTCAAAGCCAGCCTCAGCAATTTAGCGAGGCCCTAAGCACCTTAGAAAGACCCTATCTCTAAATTAAATTATAAAAAGGGCTGGGGATGTGGATCAGAGGTTAAGTGCTCCTGGGTTCAATCCCTGGCACAAAAAAAAAAAAAGAGAGAGAGAGAGAGAAAAGAAAAGAAAGAAAGAAAAATAAAGGTGAACAGGTATTAGTGTTGATTGTGCTGCCTGTGGGAAGTCCTTAAAAACCACTGTTGAATGAATGAAAAACTGATGAATCCGCCCATGCTCCCTGGATGGATTCAGGCCCTCTGCTCCAGCCAAGGGTTATTCTAGCTTTCTGGATCACATTGCCGGGACACATGATCATTGCTGAAGGAGCACAAACCATGTCAAGGAGCTATTTAATTTTTCTTTCCTAAATAAGAGCATTAGGGCAGAATTGATCATTGTCATTGTCTGATGGAGAAACTAAGTCATAGAGCAAGGAAACAAAAAAGACAGTGATAAAAACTGCTCTCAGTTCATGACAGAAATGTTTTCTGACATCTGCTACTTCCGCCTCCTCCTGCCCAGGTCTCACATTTGGGCCTCCCATGTACCCAAGTCTTTAAGGAAGAGGGTTGGGAGGGAGCTCATATTGATCGCTGCATTTCACAGAGGCGCAGCTGGGAATGAGGTCCAAGACCTGACTCTGGACAGCGTTGGGTGCCCTGTCCTGCATGGCAGGCCTGGCCAGGAAAGGCCCTGCCCTCCTGGGATTTATTGCTGTGACATCATCCCTTACTTAATGAGGGTTGTTAAGAATTTACACAACAGACATGTATGTGCTCTTGCGCTGGCTTCCCATCTGCCTTATATGATTTAGGGGTAAACACCAGCTTTGTAACTGGAGGGCCATCTGGAGTCTGATCCCACCATGGAGAGTACAATGTTGATTGATTTAATGAAACCCACTCTCAAATGGCTTTTTATTTGTTCTCTTTTATCCATCTTTCTTCTTCAGAGGTGGTGATGGATTTATTTTTAATATACTTCTTCAAAGTTCAACACTTAAATTGAATTTCACCATTTCATCCTTTACCCTGAATTAATGCAGACACAAGAGTGTTTGAGGACATCCTTTGTTGCTTGAAGAGAAGGTGTCACACATAGCCTCTGGGCTTCACTCACCGTGGTTCACAGTGAGGAACCACCTCCCTCTCCCTCTCCCTCTCCCTCCCCCAACAGCCTGACTCCTCCACATTCATGGCCCTCAGCTCTGACCTCATCTCTTCAGAGCATGTCTCTTCTGATTCATTTCTGCTCTCATAGACTCTTCTATCTTGACTTCCACAGAATCTGAGTTTCTGCCTGTAGAACGCCGTAGTCAGTGGAAATTATTTCTACATCTCCCATGAGACTGTAAACTTCTCAAGAGTGGGATCAGTGCCTTTTTTGCTCTGTTTTCATGTTTGATCTCCAGCCCTCGCACAGTGTCTGACACATGATAGCTTCTGGAGTAGTGTTGGTGGGATTTCCAGCTTTGACAATGACTCATTCCAAACAGAAGGCGTTGGATGTTTCATAGCAGCTCAATTCACAAAAGCTAAACTGTGGAAGTAACCTAGAAGCCCTTCAACCTTCAACTGATGAATAGATAAAGAAACTTGAGATATATATATATATATATCAGCTTTAAAAGAGAATGAAATTATGGCATTTGCATATCATGCTAAGCAAAGTAAGCCAGTTCTAAAAAATCAAAGGCCAAATGTTCTCCCTTGTAAGTGGATGCTGATCCATAAAGGGTGTGTGTGAGGGGGAGAATGGAGGAACTTAGATTGGGCAAAGGGGATTGGAGTAGGAAAGATGGTAGAATGAGATATCTAGGTACATATAAGTCTGTACATATGGTGCAACTCCACATCCTATACAGAGAAATAAAAAGTTGCACTCCATTTGTGTACAATGAATCAAAATGCATTTTGCTGTCATGTATAACTAATTAGAACAAATTTTTAAAAGGAGAGGAAAAAAAAGAAGGTGTTGACTGTATGGTCAAAGGGGGCACCCTGACTCCTCACTCCTGCCTTCACCTCCCAGGGATTTAGGGAATTAAACTTGGACTTCCTCTTGGACCCAGTTACATTTCAGGACAATGACTCATCCTTTTAGCAACTTCTTTGATGTGAGCAGTAAGAATGAGAGTGGCCAGCTATGTGGGCACTGGGTGAAAGGGCTCCCCACTCTCCTGTTTGTTTTAGACTCACCCTCCGATTTTCCTAATTCCCTAGGTATATCCAGTGCTAAACTGAATGGGTAAAATTCATCTTGTACTTGCCACCTTTTGCAAATCATGCCGAGGACAGCATATTAGTGCCACCTGAACCCAGGTAGAGAGAAGCAGGAGGGTTGTAACTGCCTCCTTGCAGAGGTAGAAGAGGTGACCGAGTAAGGGGCTCTGTTTTGGCCTCACTTCTTTTTTCTGCTTTGTGCTCCTTGTATAATTTCTTGTAAACGAGGACTATTATTTCCTAGAATGTTGTCTCTTGAGAGAGTAGCCATCAGACCAGTTTTTCCCCTGTCCCTTTCCTGGCTTTTGCTCATTCCTGCTTGTGGCCCCACCTCTTGTTCCTTTCAACATAAAGCAGAGACATAGGGAAGAAGGCCTGAAAGGAGAATTTGACTCAAACGTTGATTTCCATTTTATGGTTTGGGCTCCAGAGAATGAAACGGCTCTCCTTGGTTTTATGACTCCTATTTATCATGATTTGCATCTTCCTGGTGGTTGCCTAGTTACCAGGTGGCAGAGCCCTTCCCAGGTTGCAAAATATTTTATAGGCAGTTGGCAGAGGAAGGACTCATGGTATTGAACAGGAAAGTGGATACAATAGAATAGGAAAGTGGCAAGGTGCTCAGGGCAGGGACAGGGTCTCTGTGCCTGAAGTTAGCAAGGATCTCCCACTGTAGCTGGCGTGGTGAATGTGGAAAGGCTTCACCAGGTCTCTACTGCGTGCCCAGGGTGTGGAGAGCTATGCGTGGTTTTATAAAAAACCAAAAGACCATGAGACAATGCCTTCAGCCTTAGGAAACTCATCACATAACCTTGTAGTCATGATGTTTTGTAAAATTGTAATTAAGGTAGTATAGAAACTCAGAAGACAGAAAAAATCTCTTAAGATAGAAATTCAGAAGACAGAAAAAGTCTCTTTAGACTAAACAGTGAAAACTTCAGGAATTAAATGGCCTTGAAGGATGGAATGGTCTCCACAGGTAGATACAGAGGGCAACATTCCAAAAAGAGCATGGGTCTAAAAGGCTTGGATACAGACCAGACCTGGACTGAAACCCAGATCCTAGCTGGGCATGTGGTGCACTCCTGTAATCTCAGTGAGCAGGAGGCTGAGACAGGAGGATTGTAAGTTTAAAGCCAGCCTCCACAACTTGGTGAGACACTGTCTTAAGAGGGCTGGGGATATATAGCTCAGGGTTAAGTCTCCCCTGGGTTCAACCCCAGTGGGCGAGGGGAAGAAATCCAAATCCTACTGCTTACTAACTGTAATCTGGGACAAGTGACTTACCTTGTATTTCTGTCTCCCTTGGATTTTGAAGTTTGAAGAGCATTATGGGGGGATTTACAGCCCACCAAAGTTGACTGGAACAGAGTGATGAGGCTCCTTCTTACATAGGAGTGAGACATTAGAGCCAAGAAGACAGCCGGGAACAGATTGGGCACGGCCTTTACCACCGAGTTGAGAAACTGAGGCACAGGAGCAAGAAAAGGCCTTTGGAGGGTCCAGGAAGGGAGCCATGAGCAGATTGATTTGGTGGTGATGTTCAGAATGGGCCAGATGGAGCAAGGACAAAGAGGCAGGGAGGACAACTAGGGGCTTCTGCATGGGGATAGGTGCAGTATGGAAGGTGGTGGCCAGAAGACTGGCTTGAAAGGGGTGACAGGAAAGGTGGGTACTGGTGAGAGGGACGTGGTGGAGGAGGGAGAGAAGCTCTAGCAGGAGTCCTGCAGTTGCATCTGTTGCCTTTCCATGTTTGGGTGAGTGGAATTGAGGCCTCATTTGGGTTTTGATGGTTTCATCATGTTTTATTTTACTGATATTTCTGGCTCTCCCTTATCAAAGTCATCCTAGGACAATGGTTCTCAACTTTGGCTGCATGTTAGGATCACCTGGGTTTTTTTTAAAAAAAAAACTCCAGATTCCCAGACCAGAATTAAGAGCAATTATGCTTTTTGGATTTAGGCTATTCCCCTGCACAGCCAGGGTGAGGATCATTGAGCTTGGAGAGGAGAAGCTGTGGTGATATGGAACAGGCATTCAAACTGTGTGGAGAAGAAAACTTGGAATCAGACTTAGCTTCTGGATAAGGTGGGGTAGTGGAGCATGTGGGGAACCTCTACAACTGTGAACCAAAGTGAACCTTTCTTCTTATAAGTTGGTTATCTCAGGTATTTTGTTACAGTAACTAAAAGCTCACCAACAAGCAAGATAGTGCCACTTAAGAACATGCAGCCTGGGGCTACATCTGTAGCCAGGTTGTTTAAAAAAATTGGAAACACATTCTGAACCACAGCAATAGTAACTATTTTAAATCACATTTGTTTGTCCCCAAATCAGCATTAGTATAATTTAAGTATGGGTTTTTATTGCTCTTTCTCTATTCAGTGTCCTTGTTTTATTCACAGTTCTAAGTTCATTATTAGGAATTAGATCAATTACTTTTGTTAGACAGTACAAGAGTCAGATTTCTTTATTATTGGCCATTTCAAATTTCTATTGC